TTAAATCTTCCCTCGAGGGCTCCAAGGCACGCTGTCAGAAGGGCACGTATTCAACGATCAGCTATCCAATGAAGAAGACCAAGGTGAAATTGAAAGCCATCCCACACGACAATTATCGCCAGGAACAGACATCTGAGACGCCCTCGCTTTTCAGCTCACTCCTTGCCTCCCCCTCCCCCCCTTTTTTTTAGATGTGCTGGGATCATAAAAATAGCTTTCAGTTTTGCTGGCCTCTTCCTCCCACTCTCCTAGCTCCTCCACAGATTCCAAATGCGTTAATGTCCCTTCGGCTGCCCGCAACACGCCAAACGAGAGGGAATGGGGCAAAAAACAAAAGGGGAAGAACTAAAATAAACATCCTTGCGTTTCAAACGCAGGCCCTTGCCCGGCCTCTCGTTTAGGCCCGTGCTTTTGCGGACGGGAACGGCTTGCTTTTTTTTTCCTTTGCTTTTTCATCCCAGAATCTCTCCAGCCTGCCGGCACTCTCTGTCAAGCTAGAGGCTTAGTGCGTTACAAGGCATACTCGCGGCTGTCGCTATATCTTGACACCTTGAAGGAATGGTCTTGACAAGCGCCTAATCCGACTCGTCCGTTCAAGCCGAACCGCCTACGGAGACGGCATTTAACGTCTCTTGTAATGCCGCTGGCTCGCTATCCTTCACTATCCGACTCTTTACGCACATTACGGAGTGCATGAAAAAATCCATCTCAGTCGATGAATAATACTTTACGCCGACCTTATTTTTATCCTTTACACTGTAAAGTACGGAGTACTCCGTATGCAAACAATTATCCTTGCCGCCTATACATAGAAATATTACTACGACAACACGTAATATGGAGTTAGTGGATTCCTATCAAACCCTTGCAGCAAAATTGGACAGGGGAGGCATGGCGGGCAAGAGCAACGCAACGACACACAGAATCTTTCCATACCCAAATCCTCGGGATGACTTCGACCTTCTTTCCCCTCTTATATTACTTTTTCAGTCTTAAAATCACACAAAAAGCAATGATCATCAGCCTGGCACGTTCAAAATAACTTTCTCTCTTGCTCCGTGCACGGTAAGTACCCTGAAAAGACTGGCAGACTCTAACAACACCCAGGCGGAATTACTTGTCGATGGATCGCAGGATGTGGGTTCAACGATGAATCTGAAAAAAAAAAAAAAGAAAGGCTTTGAAAAAGGGGCGCCACCTATCCTAGGATCAAGAGAGTATCTCCGCGTGATTGATCTTCCCCTTCCACTTCCGCAGCGGCGCTTCCAGCTTCCCAATTATGGTATAAGGGCTTGCTGCTTAATCTGATACAAGGAGTCTCCCCCTTTTAAGATTTACTAGCTGTATTTTTCCCGCAGAACTACTTGACTTACCTTGCTGTTATGCCCCGTTTAATCTTTTCAGCGCAAAATCGAGTTATCATAACCGCAAAAGCAAAAAGGAAATGATCAACCACTTGGTCTCGGCATAGGGGGGAAGGAAGAGGCGATTCACAGTCGCTGGCCCTTCTCCCCTCTCTGAATGCTCTCAAATCGAGACAATGGCACTGTGGCCACAGGGCCTAGAGTGTCATCGATTTGGACTCCTTTGATGAGTGAAAATAGTTTTATGATTGGTCAAGAATTGGAATGACTTCCCAGCATGTCAAACAGAATAAAGGGGTAAACCCTTACTTGGATCATCCAAAAGGTCTCCACGACAAATCTCCTACATGCATACGGAGTAGCTAACTGGAAGAACTACTATCGATTGTCTATCGACAGCTATCGATTGACAACAAAAATCGATGTGTCTATTTCGCGCCCCCCTTGCATTTTTCAGAATGAGCAAAGGAGAAGCCCAAGTAAACAAGACACGGCTAAAGTGGCCAGAAAATACCACACTATCCGTTGCTGGAACACCGCCAGCGGCAGGCACTTACCATAAGTGTTTTCTTACCTGATACTATACCTGACGCTAAAACTGTCCCATCTTGAACTTTGAAAAGCAGGAGACGGAGGACCGGCTGAGTCCACGAAGCACGCTGTGCAGCAGACATGCACTGTATGGTTTCGATTATACGTCGTCATTCCACGGCGTATATTCTCCGTCACACAGGAAAGGGCGTCCTGAGCGCGGATAGGATATCAATCGGGCCAAAAAGAAATTACGCGGAAGAACTCATGTCTGTCTCGAACACTAAAGAGGAACGCAGGCCAGCTTGAAACAGGAACGAACCGTGGGACTCGCTTTCAGTTTCTCTCCCACACTCGGCCTCATTTTTGCCTTCCGCACTTATTTCTGTTTAGTTATGAGGGGGCGCGCAAAACAAAAGTGAGGCTTTGTATGAAAGGAAAATGCTAGCACGTTAACTAGCCCATCCAATCAATGATTTTAGAGAGATGTACAAGGTGGCGTTTCCTGGATACCCTTTCATCGAATTTTGCCTCTAGATCGGGGTACTAGGATCGATGATCTTCGCCTAAATACCAAGGCGAGAGAGGTCGTCGTCTGCAAGGCTTCGCATTAGGCGCTGATATCTTATGCGGATGATGGCAATGTGCTCCCCATTCTCGGCTTCAGCTTCTCACACTTGAAAATGAATACGAAACTGTGTTCCCATGGAAAAGACATGATCATGAGTGCTCTTTTGTAAATCCTTTTTGTTTCCGCTTGTATTTGCGCGGGATTCGTCCTCACTATATACGGAGACAAACGGGATACATTCACCGGCTGCATGCATGTTGCATGCTTTCTTGCCATCCAAAGGGCCGGTTTGCATTTTTAGCTTCTAAGAAGAAACCACGAGCCGACGTTCAACAGTGTGCAGTGTGTTTCGGCTATTTGGTGAAGGAACAAGCTAGCTAGCCTTCTTCCTTTTTTTCCCTCTCGTCTCCCACGCTGAGCAAGCCTCAAGCGTCTCAACGTGCAGTCCAGGCCGCGGGATGGCATCCAGCTTGTAATATCCGCTTCGTTGGGCAGGGAAATGTAGTATTTTTCGGCACCGTCTCCCGTCACTTGCGGAGATACAAACAATTGCAGATGAGTAGGGGGTCTATTCTCTCCATTGTGTTGTTATCTTATTGGAGCGTCTTCGGTGTTACAATCCACGAATTTTGGCCGAGCCTGTGTAGGAGAGAACTGTCTTTATTCACTTCATCATAACCATCATCCGGAGCAACCCCAAGAGTTGTCAATAAGTACTCCGTATACCAGAATGAATTGTGGGTGATATCATGTTGTGATACCTGCTGTACCCCGTCTACACCCAGAATGATAGGTCGGAATCCTTTTCGTCCTATCTCCGCCCAACCCTTCCATTAGCAAGCTTCGTCGTCTTGACTACTGACTTGCGGTTGGTTATAGGTGGCCTGCTTCTCAGAAGTCCGTATGGGTGGTATCTGATATATTCTATCGACCATAGGCTCCGTCACATCAAAATCTCTAGCTGCGCGCGCGTTGGATTTGGCAAGGCAAATTCGTCCCACGTAGTAACCTGATGAGAATTCCGCTGAAAAGTCACTTGGAGGCGTATGAAGGGACACGAGGATACGTACTGCCTATGACTGGCCGTTGTTCTCCCTAGTCGATGTCGCACTACATTTATTCGTTTACAGGCACGCACAACCTATTCCGCTCTGGTGGCCTCGACATGGGTATGACAGCCCACATACCAGCTTCAATAAATCAGGATACTGTGCCTCTCACCCATTTGACAGTGGCGGGAAAGTTAAGGAACCCTCTAGCGAGCAACGGTTAACTGACATCTACCCAAGGGAGCATTAGCCAGCCGTCTCATGGGAGGTATTCTGTCCGTGAGTAGGCGGGTGAATATTCATACATGCGATGCCGGAGCACAGCGAATGTCACCAAACAGTATATAGTTAAATATCCTTAGAATCAAGATATCTCTACTACCAGCTAATTATCGATCCACAGGATGAGAATGGCGGCCGGTTCGGAATCTCATGTACAGCTGAGGGCTGAGCCGACAAATATCGTATAACCTCGGATCCGGTCCGAATTCCTAGACCCTCCTCCCATAGCCTATTTGTGGCTCTGTATGTCTGGTTTCCAGCCCAGGAAACGATAGCCTCCAAGGTGTTGGCATGCTAGGCTTATGGGGGTCAGTAAACCTGGCCATGCAATAATGAAAATATCCAGCAAGAAAATAAGTCATCAGCTTCAGAAAGGCCCCGACTTCCTCAACGTATGTACATTCGGCGTTTAGGTGCGGGATCCTCTGTATGTAATCAGGCGAACTGCATTCGAAACTGGTCCGGGTCTGGCTTCCTTTACACAGGGCCCCTTGGACAGCAAAATGAAACCAATAGTGCTCGCGGCCCTGGTAACAAAAGTCCACCCAATTTCCAAGATGGAGAGAGCGAAGTTGATTGAAAATGATAGATAAATATGGCGTCAAGACGTGTATCAGTCTAGATATCAACCCGTTGTGTTTACACACGAAATGAAACAAGCTCTTGCTGCTCCATCTTTGTAGAGGGATTTAATCAACTTGCCATTCAGGCTGAGTTTTGTCAGCCGCCCGTTATCATGATGAGTAACCGCATGGATTTATCAGGTATAAATATGGAGACCGGGCGTAGAAGTTCCTTGTTCTTCTCCTGGGAATAGTTCATGCAAGGAGAGCAATAGTTTACTTCTTCCATGACAGTAGTCAAACGGCATAGCCACAAGCGGGTTCTCAATTTAGCAACAGTCCAGGAACTAATCTTGTCCAAGGAAATTGATAATGGGATGTCCAAGATGGGGGTTCATCATAGCCCAGCCCCCGAAGTAAGCCGGAGCAGAGCTGGGACATGCGATAACTAGTTAATGGCACTGAATTGGGGTTGAACGATGGCTGGTGTAGGCCAGTATTTAGCAGATGGACCACTTTTTCTGCGTCATCGATATATGCAAAAATGTAACATACCATTGAGTTGAAAACATGGACAATAAGGAGTGGACGGTACAGGGGCTAAGTAAATTTATAGAAGAGGTCGATTTGATGGCCGAAGAACCAACCCGCCATCAACTAATCACGTGTAGCTTGTAGGAAGGTATGTAGTGGCTGCCTGCCTAAACGGAACCCTTTAGTAGATAGTTTCTGACAATTTTACGTCCGTCGACATTGATAGCTCTCGCGGGAGAGCCCGACTCACATACAGGAAGAGAATGGATGAAGAGGCTCTGATATTACCCGAAAAAGCACAACGGGCACAATATAACACACAAAGTACAAGATAACTAAAAGAGAGCGCAGAGAAGGACAGGAAAGCAGACATGAGATTTGCTAGCATATCAAGAACCCGCCGCCGCACCATGGTCATCGTGATATCATCCCAGTGGGCCAATTACTCCAGTCCTGGCAAATCTTTGTTTCCTTCCGCCTCCTCTGAAATGCAATCGAGAGCAGCCAAAGTAGAAAAGGAGAGTTGATCGAATACAGTTAGTGAAGAAACACTCAACTCGAGGTACGTACAAGGTGGTAAGAGCAGCAACGGAGGGATTAGCCAGATATCGGCGTAAAACTGCATGAGCTTTTTGTTCTTCTTTTTGGGCAGACTTTGAAGCTGCAGGCAAAAGTATGGATATTATACCTGTGGTTTCAGGCCGGGAGGGTGCATAGTCGAAGGGCAGAGGGAGCAATGCGCACAGATGCATTGCAGATCGATAACAGGAACAGTATAATAGAACGGAATACAGGAGAACGCAGGTCGAGGCACAAACAAAATATAAGGGTCAAAAAGGAAAAAAGTATTCATTTTGCAAAAAGTGTTTTTTTTTTTTTTTTTTCTTCATTTCCGTTTGTCGTCGGGGCACATTGATAAAGCACACAAACAGAACGAGGCCGGTGGAGATATGGGTGAAAACACAATAAACTGACAGGCAAGAAGGGACAGGGAAGAGGAAGTAAAATTGCGCCATTATTTCTAAAGATGTAAGTAGTTAAGAGTATTGCTAAGGAGTGGCGGTGTGGAGAGAAGCTGGATGGGGAATTGAGTGACAATAGATTTATCGGCGGTTCCATGTCGAGTAGCTAAGTATAAAGATGGTTAGCGAATCGTTACTAACCGAATATCATAAGGGATAACGGGAATTAGTACTAACCTCCAGATTCTAGCACGCATGTCTCCACTTCCAGTTGCGAATAACTGGCCAGTTGGACTCGGGGCAACCGAGATAACTTTGAGAAGTAAATAGGTCAGCCACGATCTAGAACACGAAGAATATTATGAGGAATGGCAGGAGGACATACCTGAGTTTTTGTGACCCTGGAGCATCATCTGAGCGTGGCCGGTAGCAGGATCCCAGAATTGAACACCTCTATCTTTCGAGCCGCTCATCACCCAGTGGCCGTCAGGTGTCAGACAGACACTAAGTACAAAGTCCTGTAAATAGATGGTTAGCCAGGAAAACATGTCCAAGATAATATGGTGATCGCTACGGAGTTGGCATACCTTGTGTCCTTCGAAAGTGCGTACACACTTTCCTCCCTTTGGTCCTGTTCCGGGTACCATTCCTCTTGGGGGTGTAAGCTCCCACATCTTGATAGTCTTGTCCAAACTGCCGCTAACAAGGTCTCTGCCATTTGGTGCAAAAGCAACACTGTAAACACTGTCTCTATGGCCATCAGGGCTCTCAAGACGCTCAACAAGGTATCCAGTGGTGGTATCCCAGACGCGGACACTCTTATCAAGAGACCCAGCAGCCACATAGCGGCCGTCTGGGGAGATAGCAACAGTGGTGACGCCGTCCTCGATGCTGAGGATGAGTTCCTGCTTGCCATCAACAATATCCCAGAGACGGACGGTCTTATCACCACTTCCTGAGGCGATATAGCGGCCGTTTCGGGCAAATCAAGGGAATAGATGTCTTGTCGTGTCCAGAGAGATGTCTGATGTGCGCTAGCAATATCCCAGACCTAG